GGTCATATAACTAAAGGAAATCAGGAAAATTAGTTTTGAGGTAAAGGGTGAGTACAATTTTAAATATGTATTTGAAATGACAACAAGATACTACCTTGTTGATGACAACCAATTAAAGGTATCCAATAGACTTTTGGATATGTAGGTCACCAATAAGAGTCATAACTTGAAAGATGAGATTCTCAAAGGATGAAATAGGAAGATGGAAGGGTCTAATGTCAAGGACAGAATGTTGCAACCCATAGTTAGGGAATGGGAGGAAGAATGGAGCAAGGGAGTAACAGGAACTGTCAGCAATGGACAGTCAGCAGTGGGGCTTTCTGGAAGTCAGGAGTTCAGAAGTCCTTGATTTATTCCCAAGACTTGTTCCCAAACTTAGAGTGGAAGAATTCAGTCTTATGTCATTAATGTGATGTTAGTTATAGGTTTTTCAAAGATTTTTATATTGAAGAAGCACTCTTCTCTACCTAGTTTACTTAGAGATTTTACTATGAATTACTAATGTTTTCAAATGAATTTTATGCATATGTTGGGATGATCATATCAGTTTTATCTTAGTCTTTCGAGATGGTGAATTGCCTTGATTGATTTTCCACTGTTGAACCAATTCTACATTTCTGAAATAAACCCCACTTGGTTGTGATATATTCTTCTTCTTCTTCTTTTTAAAGTTGCTGGATTCTATCTGCTAATATATGTATTTTAAGAAAATCTACATCTAAATTCAAGAAGGATGCTGTGTTGTTATTGTTAGGTGCTATTGAACTGGTTCTGATACATAGCAACCCTGTGTAAACAGAATGAAATGCTGCTTCGTCCCTCACCATCCTCCCAGTTGTTGCTGTGTTTGAGCCCATTGTTGTAGCCACTTTACTAACCTGTCTTGTTAAGGGTCTTCCTCTTACTTACCCTCTGCCAACCATGTTGTCCTTTTCCAGGGACCAGCCCCTCCTGATGACTTGTCTAAAGTACGTGAGATAAAGTTGTGGACCTTCTGAGTTCTGGCTGTACTTCTTCCAAGACATATGTGTTCATTCTTTTGGCATGGTATATTCATAATATAGTCAATATTCTTCACCAACATTGTAATTCAAATACATCAGTTCTTCTTTGTTCTTCCTTATTCATTGTCGGCTTTCGCATGCATATGAGGTATTAAAAATACCGTGGTTTCAGTCTGGAACCCTTTAGTCCTCAAAGTGACATCTTGGCTTTTTAACACTTTAAAGAAATCTTTTGCAGCAGATTTTCCCAGTGCAGTATGTCATTTGATTTCTTAACTGCTGCTTCCATGGGCATTGATTGTGGATCCATGTAAAATTAAATTGTAAACAACTCAATATTTTCTTTTGTAAGTTTCTAGTAATGTCATTGTCTGGTTTGGGTATCGAGGTAATGCTGCATCAAAAAATGAATTGGGAAGTATGTCCTCCTCTTCTATTGTCTGGAAAAGCTTGTGAAGTATTGGTATTAACTCTTGGTAAGGTTTTAAGTGAAAGCATCTTGGCCTAGGAAGATTTTCTTGTAAGTAGATTGAGGCATTATTCAGATTATCCATTTTTCCTGAGTGAATTTTCCAGTTTGTGTCTTGCAAGTATTTTGTGTGTTTCTCATATAAATGATCCAATGTTGTGTTGGTTTTTTTTTTTAAAAAAAAAAAGAAACAAACATTCTCATTGACTAGATTTTGACTCCTGGCAACTCCACGTGTACAGAGCAGAGCTGCCCCAGAGGGTTTCTTGGCCATAATCTTTATAGAAGTAGATTACTAGGCCTTTCTTGTACAGTGCCTACAAAACTGGGCTTGAACCATCAACCTTTAGGTTAGTATCAGGCTCAAACCACTTTGTACCACCTTGAGCACTCTTTTTTGGAATGTTGTCGTTGTTGTTATGTGCCGTCGAGTCAAACCCTACTCACAGCGACCACTCCTTGGGTTTCCGAGGCAGTATCACTACGGAAGTAGGATTGCCCAACCTTCCTTCTGAGGAGTGGCTGTTGGGTTTGAACCGCCAGCTGTCTGGTTAGCAGGCAAGTGTCTTAGCCACTATGCTACCAGAGCATAAAGGTCTACAAAATATTATTAGCCTTTTAATGTCTGTAGGATTTGTTGTGATGATTTTATTTCATTTACATTTTCTATTTATTTTCTACTTGTCACATCTGTTCTTTGTTATTTTTTTCATTTCTTACTTTCTTTTAGAATGATTATTTTTATAACTCCATTATATATATATATATTTGTTTTGTTTTAAGGACAAACAGAAGGCTAGGTGTGCACTCTCATGTATCATAACTGAAATTCTCTCAATAAAGTGAAATATGAGATTATAAGCTGAAGGTGGTACAATTTTGGCATCTTATATAGAGAATGCTTAGAATATTTACTCTTGGAGGTCTCCTGGGTAACAGGCAAGAGATTAATACATAGCTTCTGAGCACTAGTGAGGGCCCAGCTAAAATAAACATAAGTAAGTAAAAAACACTATTTGGATAGCTAAGGTATAATATGATCAAATCTGAAGATACATTTCTAAAATAAGCCCTAAAATTTTTGAAAATGTGAAAATCTATAATGATATGGCAATGGCGGTAAGGGCATTTCACATTTCAGTTTTAGTTTTAATAGAGTTCAACCATTTCCCATCTAAGTTTGAAGAAAACAGTCTTTTCTGGGCAATCATATTTATCTAGGAGCCTAACTTTGAAGTAATTTTCAGTGGTCGTTTCTAAATGTTAAGCACTCAGAAGATGAGCTCAAGGGGAGATCTTCAATAAAAGCTGAGGGGACTTTCTATCATTTCCATGAATCTAAGTTCTCTGAAAAGCCAGACAAAGGTGCAATAGCCAGAAAGAATTGCTATTTTTGAGGGGAAAGAGAGTTTATGGAAAACTGGCATCCCAACTGTATATTTTGTGGGACTAATGGTTTTGGAAATGTTTGCTAGACTAGGATAATTATTCTACTCTTTGAACTGATTATACTTTGTATTCTCTTTGTTTGCAAAAACTTAAATCATGTAATGAAATGTGAAATCATTATGAAGTCACAGCTGATTGAAATTCCACTTTGTCCATTTCCATTATTATTTCACTTACAGATTAAAAATCTGTGTGATTAAAAAATGGGAAAATCACCTCATTATGAGAATATTTCATTTGAGTTATTTTCAGTTATAACTTGGTTCTCAGAATAATTTTTTTTTTTTTTACTAATTCTAACTTTAGCATCAGAAAAGGTAATATTTTATATAAAAAAAATTGATGTAGATAAATATTTTTTTGTAGACATAGAAACTCCTCAGAAAGAAGGTTGGGCAATCTACTTCCATATGATACTGCCTCAGAAACTCAGGGAGGGATCGTTATGAGTTGGGTCTGACTCAATGGCACATAACAACAAGAGACATAGAAAATGAACTGAACCTATCTTTTTCCAACAATGGCCACTACAGTGTAGAATAATGAAGGAGGATAATAGACCTTGGGGTCAGATTGCTTGGGTTTGCATAGTATCTTTATTACTTAACCAGCTGTGCAACCTGGGGCAAGATGCTTAACCTCTTTGTGCTTCAGTGTTTCCATCTGTAAAATGGGAAAATAGTTTTATCTTATAGATTTGATGCAAAAATTAAATAAGTTAATACATGCAAGATGCTTAGAACAGGACTAATACACAGTATGTATCCAAAAGTTGTAGTTATTGCTATTGAGATGTAGAAAGTTAGTTAGGCTCTGTGTATAATGTGAGATTTTGACATATTGAAGAATACCTGGATCCAGTGTCCTGGGTGTCAAATTTACAGAACTTGATACATACTTTAGAAAGTGTAATAGGAATAAAAAGACCAGATGCCATCCATTTGAGTATGACTTCTATAAACAATTTTTTTCTTGTATATTAAACTTTCTCTGTCAAGCATAGCAATTATTTCTTCAAGTGCAATTTTAATGTTAGTAAAAGTAATTATGTTTCAGCATATATATTCTAAATCAACTCTTGGTAATTTTTCAAAATAAAATATTATGTACAGAAAAACCAGAATAAAGAAGGCAAATTTTGTGTTTTCTATAAGTGAAGAAAATTAACCACATGATTTGTATAAGTCTAAGCACTTATGGTAAAGAGCATGGTGAAATATTTTGGGGAAAAAATCATATTGCAAAAGAGGAAAGGAAATTAGTAGCAAATGGGCACTAACCCTGGTAGGCATTTTTACCCTTATACTATTTCATTCATTTATCTTTCAGATCTATAAAATGACATATATTATTCCCAGTTTGCTAATGTTAAAATTAAATTTCACAGATAATGACTTTAGGATTATTTAGGGAAGAGAGCTGAAGGCAAATCCTATGCTCTCTCCATTGCCCTCCCCTGCCTCCCTCATTGAATGAGTTTGGCATAGAAATTATGGCTGATCCAAAATTTTAACTATCTTAGTTTCTCAATATCTTGTTATTCAACTCATTTTATTTTCTTTCATATTTTTCCATTGTGTTAAATTTGAATAAACATTTGCCATAAGTAATAATAAAGCAAGTTATGACTTCAGGATGGGTCTCCTTGTTTTTTTGAGTGGTGGAGGGAAGCTCCCTTTAGAGTGTAGTGGTGGAAAGATATCTGGCCTGGGGCTAGTTCAACTTGGAGCAAGACATTTCACCATGCTGAAGTTCTTCTTTTCATTTGTACGATGAAAGAGAAAGCACTCAATGATCTTGAAGGTTTGTTCATTCCATCTCTAATGTTCTCTGATATTATGAATCTACACTTCCTTTTCCTAAAGGGTCACAATTCAGATACGGACCAATTTCCTCAGGAACTGATTCCTTATTAGAGATACTCCAGCCCCTTGGAAATCCCCAGGATTTATAAAATGGCTATAGATAATAAGATTGTGTAATAAGGAAATCTGAACAATTTTTTTAGATGCTATAAATATTCTTATTTTTATTCTCAACTTAGGATATCCTGATTTTTCTTTTCTATTTCTCCACAGGATTATTTTACAGATGCAAATAGACAGTTGAAAAAGGATACTCAGCAAGATTACCACCTAGAATATGCCATGGAAAATAGCACACACACAGTAATTGAGTTTACCAGAGAGCTGCATACATGTGACATAAATGACAAGAGTATTACGGTAAGGAGTTTATGAATGAAGTATGCAGGAAATTGTACATTTATACTTGTGATGCATTTTATAGAATATTTAGTAATAATCTTTGATAAAGTCACATAAAGTATTTTTGGGAATATTTTTGAAAACTCTTTAGACACCACAAAAAATCTGACTTCACAAATTTCAACAAAAACAATTTTTGTGTAAATCTGAAGTTTTGAAGAGCTCTTTAAAGCTTGTATGCTTTTGCTTATAAAAGGATTTTAACTTATTCTTTATAAAGCTTGAAAATGGAGGGTAAAGTTGGAGGAAATATATTATACAAGGGAGAGTTATGATCCAGAATATAGCATATAATTCATCTCTTCTATAACTGATTCCTTTTTGTAAATTTCTAAAATCATGATGAATAGTAGGCTGATTAAAATCGCGTGTTGATGTATTATATAAAATTTCTTATTTTCAGACTTCATATAAAAATTAATATCTTTATGCATATGCAAATTAAATACTTAGAGGATATATAATTCATTCAGTACTTTGGAAGTTTCCACAAATTGCTTGGATAAATTTCATTTTTGTATGTGAACAAAATTATTAACTTTCTATTTCATACATTAATGCTTCAGAAATGGTAACATAAACCTGAAGCCATTCTTATTAACATTCACCATAAAGAATGAAAGGAAGAAAAGAAAAACACAGGCAAATGGATGGATCACTTTTGATATAATATGAAGTCCAGTTATATTTTAATTGGAATAATAATTACAATCATTTGACTTACTAAAATTAAATATAGCAAAAAGAAGATTTAAAAGAAATAGCTTTCTCTTTCTTTCTTTCTTTTTTTTTTTTTTTCAAAGTTCTTATTACAAAAACCTGGCAAAAACACCTTTGTCTGTGGGAGGACTGAACAGTTTCTTTGCACCCAACAAATCCTTCCCCCAACCCTTGCGGCAACCTCTCTGTTTGTTCAAAGGAAACCAGTTTCTCTTGACAGTACTTTCCCTAATTGAACTACTCCAGCCCCTTGGAAATTCCCAGAAGTAATAAAAAGATTATAGGCAGACTGTTGTGTAATAGCAAAGCTAGATCAGAAACTCCTCTATATTTCACTTTATGTGAATTCATATGTCACTGGTTTAATGCATGGGAAACACTGATTGTGGAAGCAAAAGACCTGACCTGGAAGGTAATTTTGATTTCAATTCTATATACTCATTATCCCTGAAGTATTCCATTCAGACTCATAGCAGCTCTCATTGGATTTCCAAGGCTGTAAATCTTTGTGGACACAGTCTGCCTTATCTTTTTTCCACAGAGTGGCTGGTGGGTTTGAACCACTGACCTTTAATTGAGAAGCCAAGTGCCTTAACTGCTACACCACCAGAGTTCCTTTTAAAGTATCCCATGCATTAAAGCACTTTAATTTTTCAACGTGCTGAAAATCTCCTGCAAAGTGTAACTTTAAATTGTTTAAAAGCACAAATGACACTTTGAAGGCTAAGGTGTGCTTGACCAAAGCCATCTTATTTTCAATCGTCTCATATGCATGTGAAAACTGGACAATGAATCAGGAAGAACAGAGAAGAACTGATGCACTTGAATTATGGTTTTTATGAAAAATACGGAATATGTCATGGACTACCAGAAGAATGAACAAGTCTGTGTTGGAAGAAGTACCACCAAAATGCTCTTTGGAAATGAGTGTGGTGAAATTTCATCCCATGTACTTTGGATATGTTATCATGAGGGACTAGTCCCTGGAGAAGAAGATCATGCTTGGTGAAGTAGAGGGTCAGTGAAAAAGAGACCCTTAACAAGATGGATTGACAGAGTGGCTGCAATAGTGGACTCATATATAGCAAACACTGAAGATGATGGTGCAGAGCTGGTCATTGTTTTGTTTTGTTGTATGTAGGGTCGCTATGAGTTGATGACACTTAACAACAACAAAATTTATTTTCCCAAAAATATTCCATGGCGTTAAAACAGGTTTTAATTTTTCAAAACTTGGCTACTACTAGTTGTTAATTTGGAATTTTAGCATGACACTGATCTGCTGTTGTATTCATTATTGTCAATTATATCTTATTTTGTAATATATAATCTGTGTGCTGAGGTTGAAAATTTTCAAAAGGTAGCTTGTCTGTTTAGATATTAAATGATTTAATCAAATTTGCACAATTAATGTTAGAAACCATATGAGAATTCCAGATACCATTATTATCTTTTTTTTTCTTCACTTCTATATTCTGCTTGAAATAGAGTTCTTTAAATTCAACTCAGTGGTAAGGGAAGTGCTGTCCTGAGACATAATCGTGCACATGTCTGATCACTAGGACAGCACTGTGAGAGTGATCTGGGCTTACCACCATGAAGATGCAGGACAAGCCGGTCCCAAGTACCATGACTCCAATCGGGGGACCAAGAGTCTGAGGTTATTGAATCCTGAGAAAACCAATGTGTTGTCTACAACTTTACCATACTTTGATCTGATCAATCAAGACGTAAGTTTTTTTTAAAGATTGTTGTTTGTTGCCAGTGAGTCAATTATTTATGATTGTAGGGTGGGAAATTTAAAAATTTAAAAAATGTAGAAGAGACTTTTTGCTTAAAATATGTTTAATTACCTGTCAAAATAATGTGACTTTGTGTCCCCCTCCCTTTTTTATTAAGACAGGTCCTCATCCCAAACAAAGGTACAACATATTGGTGTCAAATGTTTAAGATTCCTGTCTTCCAAGAAAAGCATCAAGTCATAAAGGTATGTGACTCCTCATAGACTTTGTGTGAATGGAGGAAAAACTTGTTGCCTTTAAAACAAAAATGGTAATAATAATAATAATAATTTTCATATGAAAGTTAGAACAAAGAACTGGCTTGGTTGAACCACACATTTTCTTAACAGTCATTGAATTTAATGAAAAAGTTTGGATTGTAGCTAGTATTTTGGCTTTTACCTTCTATTTTACATGTCAAAGATAAAACTTGACTGCTAACCAGAAGGCTGACAGTTCAAACCCACCAGCAACTTTGTGGAATGAAAACAGGGCAATCTACTTCCATAAAGCTGCCTCAGAAACCCAATGGGGTCGCTAGGTGTTAGAATTGACTCGATGGCAGTGGGTTTGGTTTGGTTTTAATTAGTTCTTTAGAAAACAATTTCTACAATTGGAATTGCTGGAATTGCATTTTTAAATAATATTTAAATAATATTATTTACGTATTACTAAGTTATACTCAGGAAGGTTACATTTGCCCACCAATATTATTTGAGAATATCTGCTTGATTGAAAATATTGAATACTGTCATAAAAAATTGCTGTTGAATCTTTTTGAAAATTGGAAATTTTTCTATAGAATTAAGAATATGGAATTGGGTAAAAAAAAAGCCCAATTTGCCTGTAGCATATCCATTATTCCCTCCACCTCTAGGATAGCCGTCTCGCCACCAACAGTTTTATATTCACTTAGTGAATGAAACAAGTATTTTGGAAAATGTGAGGGTCCTTGGTTCTGTCCTAGGGATTGTTGGCAGTTCCACAGTGGTTGAAAGTACATAATCTGTGCTGTCAGAGAACTAGCAGTGAGATTGTGGGAGACATGGCCACACAAGAAAGATACAAGAAAGAATAAAATAAAGTTAGGTAGTACACACAAATCCTGTAAATTCAGAAAAATTGAAAGCCAGGCCAGACAATGCTACCTTCTTGTCAACCCCCAGCCTGTGTACTGAAGGGGTGTGGATATGACGAAAGTGTGTACTTCTAGACTCTGGCATCTAGAGGGAAATATTTTGGTTTGAATCACAAGTCCACTGTTTCATTATGTGCCCTCATAAGTTCCCAGGTAACACTGCAGATAGGCCTTGCTTTCGTCATCTGTAAAAGGGGAGCTGTCAGACCACTTTCCTGACAGCCCCAATGCATTTTGCAGAGATGGAAATGCTGAGCATATTCTACGAAGTGTTCACATTTTAAGTTTCTACTATATTTGCTCAGTTGCACAGACCTGCCTTTTGTTTACAGAGTGATTCATGACTACAGAGGCAATAGAGGCAGGTGAGGGAGTGTTTAGTGAATTAGTGCTTAGCCTAAGTATTTGTAGAATATTTTTGCCATCAGAAGACTCACTGTCAATGTGACTGAGTATGAGTCATTCACCTCTGTGTAGTAAGTTGTTTTCTACTTGTGCCTGTGAGGGAGACATGCAAATTCTAGTCTTACAACTCTTCATACAGTACCTAAGTCCTTCCTGTATGCCAACAAGAAGTCTTTTTTAGAAAAGAGAATGTTATATCATGTTCTGTGTGTCATTTGCAGGAAATTTAATTGGAACCTGGTTTAAGAGACAGATGTAAAACTGCAGGTTCAGAAATGAAGACAAATGCTCCACAAAATACTTCCTTTATTCCTTTTGCAAGAAACATTAATTAATAAGGTTTAAAGTCCTTAACCACTTCATGAATGAATTTTTAACTTGTCATAAATACTAATAATTGAGTTGAATGAAATAAAAATAGTTACTTTTCTACATGTAAGGGAGGCAGTGTATGTTCTGGCCCTCTATGAGGTATATCTGCTTTGTACCTCTTCTGAGAATCCTTTGTCAGCTTTCCTACCACACATCTATCATTGTAACATTCCAATCAAAGTAAAATATCCAAACCCACTGCTGTCAGGTAGATTCCGAGTCATAGGACAGCACAGAACTTCCACGTAGGGTTTCTAAGGCTGTAAATCTTTAAGGCAGCAGACTGCCTCATCATTCTCCTGTGGAGCAGTTGGGGGGTTCAAACCACCGACCTTTTGGTAAGCAGACCAATGTTTTAACCACTGTGCCACCAGAGTGCAATACTCAGGTGAGTATCAATTACGGAAAGGTGTGCTTAGAATTAAGTATTGCTTTCCTCGGTAGGCATTTCTATCAAGCGGTATCTCTTGATAGGTTTTACTTGAAAGGTTTTCAGGATTTTTTGCAGTATTTGGAGGTTTTCCTTTGATGAAAGTTCTTGACCTTGAGCAAGAGGGGACTTGAGGGACAGTAGGCTGGAGAGGAGTGTTTATTCAAAGTGTATTTGTGGAGGAAAAGAGTTGTTGGCTAGAACCTAAAATTTCATTACTTAAGAATACCACTTAGAGGGTAGATTCTTCAGCTTGTTGTTAAATCCAGAAATAATTTAAAGTTCATTGAATATTATGAAACATTTTTCTCATAATTTTTCTTGAAAATGAACTCAAATGGGATTAAAAAAAAAAGCAACACCATCAAGTTGATTCAGATGCATAGTGACATTTTAGGACAAAGAACTGCCCCAAGGCTGTAATCTTTTTTTTTTTTTTTTAATTTTTTATTGTGATTTGGGTGAAGATTTACAGAGCAAATTCACTCTCGATACAGCAGTTCACATATACTTTGTCTCTTGTCATTGACCAAAGTTTACCACAATGCAACAGCTCCCCTCCAACTTCCTCCCCATAGTTATCTCTTCCCAGTGTCCATCCCTCCATACACTCCTGCCCCCTGAGCTGTGTTCCTGTGTATAAGCAAGGGCTGTAATCTTTATGGAAGCAGACGGCTTCATTTTTCTTACATAGAGCAGCTGGTGGGTTAGAACTGCTGACCTAATGGTTAACAACTGAATGCTTTAACCATTATGCCACAAAAACAAAAACCAAAAAAACTCAAAACCCAAAATTCAAACAAACAAAAATACTGGGAAAATAAATTCAAAATATTTGTTATATAAATTGTTTTGAGACAATCTTTCAAAATCAGTTTTAATCTGCAGCTTTTATCAGGTTACAATAAAATTTAATACATTTTTAAATTAGAATTCATAGGTCTAGGGTTTACCTTAAGAAATGTGTCTAATTTCCATTTTCTCTAGCAGAAATGATCTCTAATAATTTAAGAAAAGTATATTTTCTTTCTTTGGGAGCTCTGGTGGTGTAGTGCCTAAGGCATTTGACTGCTAACCAGAAGGCTGGCGGTTCAAACCCACAAGCCACTCGTAGGAAGGAAGATTGGGCAATCTACTTTCATAGAGATACCGCGTCAGAAACCCAAGGAGGGGTCACTATGAGTTGGGATCGACTCAACGGCAGTGAGTTTGGTTTTTTGGTATACTTTCTTTAAGGAATTCTGGTGGCACAGTGCCTAAGGCATGTGACTGCTAACTAGAAGGTTGGCAGGTCAAACCAATCAGCCACTCTGTGGAAGGAAGACTGGGCAATCTACTTCTGTAAAGATCTACTGCCTTGGGTTGCTATAAAGACTCATGTCTTTAGAAAAGCCATCCAGCTTAGGTCTCCATTTCCCTTATTTTATGTCCCACAAATCACTGTCAAAAAACCTAAGTTCTTCCCTGAAAACCCAAAAATGCTTTCCCAGAATAGAGAACATTGCTTTCATATTGTGTTATACTGTTGGTCATTTGTTGTGTCTTTTAAGAACATTGTGAACAGTAGTATTGTAAGAAATTAGTTTCTTGTCTTTATGCTAAGGCAAACAGTAATCATTCATATTTTCAATTTAAATATAGATAGTACTGCCCAATATATGTTTTGTAGTTGTGATAACTATAAAGTAATGATAAAATTATTGTAAAATTATTTTTAAAAAAGGAAAATAATTTCTAAAATGACTAAATTTTGAAAATAACAAAGCTCAATTTTATCTGCAGGAAGGATGGGATTCCTATTCACCTGTGATTCCAGTTTACTGATGTTTATTATGATTCTTGCAAAAAGAAAATTTTAATATGTTTGTATTTGCAGATAATAGCACACCACAGTTACAGGCAGATAGGGGGATTGTAGAAAACAGGATTCTTGGTAATATAGTAAAACCTCATTTCTCACATGAAATAATCTCTGATCCCATACTTGAGATCCACTGTCCAGCTAAAGACATGATTGTACCTGAAATTTAAATTTTTTTAGTGAAAGTGATTTTTTTCCTATTATCTTTAATCAAGAGTAATAGCATTATCACAACTAATAGTAATGATTGGATATGGTCTTCTGGAAGCTTGAGTTATCAACTGGTATAATACACTGCTTCATTTGGGAAGGTTTTTTTTTTTTTCCAATATTTTATTGTGATTTGAGTGGAAGTTTACAGAGAAAATTGTTTTTTTTGAGGAGCTTTTATTGTCAGGGAATTCTTATAAACTAAGATTATCTATTATATAAGTGTTCTGGTTAACTAGTGCCCTCTGACAAGAATACACCACAAATGGAATGGCTTGAACAAACAGAAGTTTAGTCTCTTACAGTTTTTGGAGGCTAGACATCCAAGTTCCAAGTGCTGGGCTCTAGGGGCTGTGTGAAAGCCCCTCGACCTTGGGCTTCAGCTCCACATCTTACTCCCGGCCCACTGAAGCTAGAGGCATCTCTTCACTCAGGCAGCTACTGGTTGCTGAGGCTAACAAGCCTAAGGTTGAGAGATAAAATGGCACAGTCCCGATGTTACCAAACCACACAGCAGGCCATTAATTCAAGTCCATTGAAAGTCCCAAGGTTGGCAGAGCATGGCAGGCTGCTGAACAACGACTTGGTTACACGCAGGGTTCAAGCATACCATAAGCAAGAAATCATTCCCAAAGCTGTGTCTCATATATGGGAAGCAGACCACATACCCAAAGCAGTTACTCGGCTGCTCCAATAGATTCCACCATGGAGTTAATTACCAATCTTACCACGGGGAATAACTACATTCACTTGCCCAGCCACTCAACCAAACCCAGCCAAGTTGACACAC